ATCATCATCATCATCATCATCATCATCATCATCATCATCATCATCATATTGTCCTAGCTTTTTCATTGCGTTTCGAGTCAAACCTTTTCATGGCATCGGTCTGAGGGGCCAAACCAAAACACTGTACCTTGGGTTTGTCAGGATAGCCATGGTTCCCAGAAACAAACTGGGTGTTTCCAAGGCATCTGGTATCTTACCGTTTTAAGTGTCACACCAACTCCCCCAACCAATCTCCTCCCACAATACATCCAATATTATAACCAATCTCCAGCCATGCCTATGGCACCCAAACCCCAAATGAATCCCTCCAACTGGCTTTGGGAAAGATCTTGCTCTGCAGGATGGACACCAAGCCTGAGCCGGAGGCAGAGGAGAGACCGACAAAGCGCATCAAGTTGGAAGTCTGCAAGACTGAAGACATCACCAAATTGGCCAAATCGAGCCTTGAACCTCACAATTTAGGGGAAGTAAAGCTGGAAACATGTTTCTTTACATTAGGTTCAAGATGGAAAAACTGCGATGAGACCCCTGGAAGCTTAGTGTTTGTTTGCACATTCTGAGGAAAGTTCTGTCCATCAACAACACCTGCGATATGATTTGCGGCGGGGACAAGATCTACATATCCTCCCGGACTCCCAACCAATTCTTCCAAGGTCGTGAAATGTTCCTTGGAGACGACATCGGTCGAGTGTTATGTCTTCAGAAAGCTTTAAGCTGACTGTCATGTTAACAAGGAGTGTCTTTTGCACATGTGGGGGCGTTGTCTTTCTTGTCGGCAACAGCCTGCGCCTTGTCCACCCCCAACCCCATTGCCTTCAACCACTTTGAGCACCAATGCTGTCGACAAAGGTTCTCCTTCGGTGGTGGAGAATGGAGGGACGGCAATGAATCTTGTCACAAAGTGGCAATCTTTGTAGCAGTCCAAGTAAAATTTGGAAACGCCGAGTCATGGATGGGCCCACTGGGATGATTGCAAATTATGCTGTTAACCTTGGACCGCTTAAGGAGGCTGATGAATCTACCGCAGACCCGGAAGGTCGCTGGTTTTCATTCAACATCACCAGCACTGACTACTTGATCATGGAGCGCAAAACCTTGCCCCAGCACTTACAAGCGCTTGAGAACTGTGACGTTCCTGTGACTTTGCAAAGCCTCATCAACGACATGGAGGATTTGGGCGAGGCGAGGTGCTATAAAAGCAGTGTCCATGTCGGTCATGCAAATAATGACATGTGTGTTTTTTAAAATAACTTCCTGCTTACACCAAGATTCAACTGATGTTTTTCATCTTAAACCCAGCAGGTGAAACTCGAGCTCAGTCATCATGAGCGTGACGCAGATGGAGCTTGGAAGTGTGTAAAACCCTTGGTTTTCGTCCTCGACGAGTTGGTGGATGACCAGCCGGAACCGGTTCCGACAGATGGTAAGAAGGAGAAGAAGAGGAAGAAAGGAACGACCATTACCGGCAAGAACTTCGGTGCCTTCACCTCCATCTCCGCTCTCAAAAACGCGACCAATGTGTTCCTGGCATGGCGCGCGAGGCTGCTTTGGCCAGTTTGGTTGTGCAATCTCGTTTTCCCCAAGTCAAGCTACTGATGGTTGATGTTGTTGTCTATTGTGTTTGGCTTGGGCCCGGTCTTTGTTTGCACCATGTCCTCTTCTAGATGCTTATTGTGACATGGGTCATGTGACAATTGGTTCTGAGGTTGGATACCTCAAATACCAAGGGTGGCAAGGTCATCATGCCGATTCGCCCTGTGATCTGCTTGAAGCACCAAATGGAGGTGAACAACGAGACTGTTTGCCTTGTTTGAAGGCTCTGGTTCTGGGACTTTTGGGGAGGAGTTGAAATATCAAGAAGTCAGTAAATTAACCACATGTGTGTTATCTATCAAACCCAACTACTGTATTCAAGTGTTTTTCCAGAACCGGCCTAGATATTTTTCCAGCACCAGGCCTAGATATTTGCCAGGTGGGACGCCCATACACGCTGCAAATTGTTGCAGCAAAATGCTCCTTTCTCATGATGCTGATTGCTGTGCACCCTGAAAAAAAGAATCACCATTAATTGCCAAATGTATTGACTCATGTGCTGTTGCAAAACCCATGCCAAGCAAGAGGCCCATGTGCTGTTTCCAAATCCTTCCTGTTCTAGTCTGCCCTTGTGATCAAGAACGGAAAGGTTGTAGAAAGGCCAGGGATGGAGGACTCTCAGCAGAGCTTTGGTGACGAAGATTCGGTGGTGGAAGTGCCTTTGACGACAAGCTTCAGACCACCGGTCACTCGGCCCAACCATGGCAGAGCAATGCATATTTCAAAAAAATATGATGATGTCTTTTGGTTCTTTTGCATCAAGGCTTTTAATCTGCACCGGCTTTTGTCCACCAACACCTTGGAGAGCCCAAATCCCCGAACTACCCCGGCTGTGCCTCCATCAGCAAGCCGTGCGCTGCCATCAAGCGGCTCTACAGGTTGGGCGCATGTGGCATGTGCGCCCAATGAGTCTGTGAAAACATGTTGACATTCAGTGTGGGGTAAACCATCTCCTAGTGGCCATTCCTTGGTAGGCGTGGAGCATGCTCTTCCTGGTCGTGTTGCGTCTGATGATTCATCGGGTGAGGCCCCAAAAGATCCAGCTCCCAAGGCTAAAACCAGACCAAAGAAACATCAGGTTGCAGACGATCATGATCCCATCTTTGACCCGAAACGGGATGATGAGGATGACCACGATGATGGGAATGGTAACCCCTTTGAAGATGAAAATGCCGCTGATAGCAAGGTCCCTAAAAAGAGGCCTTCAACCCAGGGACCTTTCAAGAGGCCATCTACAAAACATCGCAAGCATGGTGAACAGGAGGACCGGGTTTCTTACTTTGCTTGATCATGTTTATTTGCAACTGGTTCCAGTGCTCTGTTTCCCACCACTGCCCCTCCACCTTCTTGGGATGTTGTGATTGCCTTCGCACCAGTGAGGATGACGCTCAAGGCCCTAAGCCCTTTGAGTACGCTATTGAGAAGAAGCATATTTGGGATGAATCCTGTGAGTTCCAGCCTGAGGTAGGTGCCAAGAACAACTTGTCCTTATCAACATTTAGTTTTAGTATGTTCTGGTTTGAATCTAGCCTTTGTGTGGGCTCCCAGGTTTGTGGGGATATCCTCCCCACGATTGCCAGCTGAACTCTTCCCCGATAACCAACTTGGGCTGGAGACCCCAACTTCAGAGCGAATTGCAGCCCCTTGGTGACTAATATCATTTAACATTGTGTGCAGCATTCCTCTCAACTTGTCTGCAAACGAGAATTCAGGATCCATACTGGGACTGTACGGCGCAAACCTCTATGGCTGAAACTCTGCTGTTCTTACCTATTGAACTTCAAACATTCACCCGATTGCTTCATCTTTGATAAACCTTCCCTTTTCTTGACAGGTGAGAGGCTACGGGTTCAAACACTTGTTGCTGTCAACCAAGGCAACAGAGCTTGACAATCCTTCTACAGGTGATTCTGCTATGAAGTGTGTCATTACCTTGGAATGTTGACCGCTGTGATAGTCTTTTGAGCACATATCACTCACATCACCTACTAGATTCTTGATTTGATCTGAGACCTATCAGATCTACCACCCTTGAAATTTAAATACCAAGGCTACTGTGGCAATGCCCGAGGACACGCCAAATGAAGGGGTCGAAGTGGAGAGAGAGCTTTGTCAAGCCATCCTTGCAGGGATAAATGCTTGCCTACATGAGCTGCCAGCTTCTTGGGAGAAGGTTCCGATTGAGGAGCTACCTGACTGCCTTCCTTGTTCCCCTGAGAGTGGTTCTGATGTGGAGGTGGTAGTGACAACCCCAATCCACGATTCGGAATATCCTCCCAACGAGTCCTTGACTGGGGATGAGGATGAAACCACCTTGACCAGTGGTGAACGAGCCGAGAAGATTGCGTCCAGTTTCAATGGTGATGAACCCATGTTGACCGGTGCCAGCCCAATGTTGCCCGGTGATGGAGAAGCTATGAAGGAGCATCCCAACCTTACTGGTGATGATGCCACCTTGAAAGAAACGCCTGTTCCTGGTCATGTGCAGGTGTTAGGTTTGAAGCCATGCCCCAAAGCAAAAGCATTCGCTGCACCCGATGGAGAGAGCCAGGAACGCCCAAAGCCCAAGTCCCACCCTGCCAAGGGAAAGGATTCTAAAACGAGTTCTACCACGAAGGGTCCCAAGCCAGCCAAACAGACCAAGAAGGTGAAGCAGGGTCAACAAAAGGTAAAGAGATCAAAGGAACAGAACGAGTTGGACAAGAAAAAGGCTCACAGTGTGTCTAAGTTGCACATAAGATTCAAGTTTTGAGTTCTTGCCAATTTGATTGGTGGTGTTCCCGCCATTCGACAGTCACGTCTAGACCTTCCTGGATATTGGACCTGTACCTCCCCGGTGTTTTTCAACATGTCAAGGTCTACAGCTCGGCTTGGAAGAAGGCAAAAAATGAGGGGCTCCAGGGCAAATCACTTACCGATCGTGCTTACACAACAAGGAAGGAGCTTCTTGACACACACAATGGTTGTTTTTTGTTGTAACGCTGGCTCTGAACTGACTACCTATTACTTTCTCCAGAGTCTGACTTAAGACATAGAGCATTTTGTGGGATATCTGAGGTGGATCATGGCCAACAACCTTCAAGATGCTGAATGGGCGACACGTTTGCTGTGACACCACAACATGAAGTGGTGTGAACATGTGAACCATAGCTGTGGGGAAGCAGCGCAAAAAAGCGGGCGTGGGCACGGGCGTGGTGGTAACTTGAAAGCCTCACTTGCAAATTGCAAAGGTCTCAGAAACAACTGGAAGCTCATACTAGTAGTTGCTTACATTGGTTGAACATTGGGGTGCATGGGGCGGCAAAGATTCCAAGTCCGGTGCTTGCTTGGAGACATTTGGAGACTTTTTTTGGGTTCACCGGAAACCAACTTCAGGTGGGAGTGGTGTGCGTCTGAAAGATAGATTTCTTTTGGAGGATGCTTCTGGGCCCCAGGGGGGGCAGAGGTCCCAATTTCAATTGGGAGCACTCCAAGCATGGTGTGACTTGCAGTACCACGTTGAACTTAGGTGAAGCGTTCGATGGGGGGGGTGAAATCCTGGAGAAAGCACCATGATTCTCGAATGCCCACCACGACGACACCCTGGCGTAGCTCTCAGGAGGTACCTCCTGGGACTCTCTGGAGAGAACGGAGAGCGCCGAGCGGTGACGATTGCTGCTGGAAAAACTCAGCCCACCACTACAATCCTTAGTGCTCCTGGCCCATATCCTCAGGTTCGGTGGTATGCGACAACCCTGACAACCCCCCCCAACCAACTTCTTAGCAGATAGTTGGAGCCCACTTTGGAGCCCTATAAGGAATAAACTCTGGAAATGGAATCTACGGCCACCTCTTCCACTCACAACTACGTTCGGAACCTCTCCATTTCGGAACCGATGCTCCTCCCCACTCGGTCTCCGGACAGTGGTGCGCATGGCGGTTCCCGCACGGAGTTTCCACGGAACACGACGGACCCGCACAAACACGGACCGCGGGTTGAGGCAGAAGCGCTGCGGACCGCGACCGACTCCAAGGGCTTTTCTCTTCTTTGCCCCACATGCTGGATGGGTGGACTGCGGCTCCAAACCGTGGTCCAAAAAGAAGAAACTTCAGGTGTTTCCCCTCTGTGCCAGCTGGGACCGTTCTGAACATTTCTGAACACCATCTTCAACAAACATCCGTGAAAACAGAACACCACCCGGTCTCGCCCTTGTATTTTCGGCTCCAGACTCCTTTTGTTGGCGGGTCCTAACTCCTGGTCGCTCTCTACCTAGCTAGCACTTCCTGTCTGGGCGCCCTGGAAACCTGGAGACCTAAAAGTTAAGTAGGGATACCGTTGTCCAGCCTGGTATATACCAAGAAGCGCTGTTTTTCTACCATGACTCGTCCAAAACGCAAGGGACACGCTCACCCCAAAGTGGCTGCGGCACACTCACCCTGACGATTACGACACCACCTTGAACTTTGCCGCATGCGAAGAAAACAAACACTTCCACAAGCGATCTATTTTAATATAAGAAGTATAGAAACACACCCGCTGTGAACAAACTAGTACTTCTCGTTACCTATGTTAGTTTATGCTAATAACATGTGGATTAATTTGGAGGTTCCAATCAATCAAACACGCCAGACCAACTTTCCGCTAAGGCTCCCGACCAAGTTCCAAGGAGGTCGGGACGCCATCGGCAGAAGTGAAGACAGGAAGTCTCCCCTAGCCTTCCAAGACCCTTCAACAAATGGTTGACCTGGCTTTGTAGATCTTTGTAGTGTAAAATCCTAAAATCGACCATGGCGGTTCGGGATTCAGCCCATTCAATCAATGGTGGGAAGGAAGGTCGGTTGGGGACTTGGTGGCTGCGGCGTGTGACAAGTCCGGTGCCTGCAAACCACCTGTTAGGGTTCCAAAACACCACCTGTTTGAAGTTGGGTCCCGGTAGAGGTTCTTGAAGAATTGTTCTTGGGCCGTGAATCTTGAGGTGAAGCCATAGTCTCGGAGATTTGGCACATGAGGTTGCGGGTGACCTTGACATATATGTCTCAGAGCCTTGGACATCTATAGAGCCATGACAAAAATGCAATCAACATGATCCCTATGGATCCCCATACCTTCTCAGGTTCGGTATGACTGGGCCCGACCCTGGTGCCTACATAATAAATAGTATCCAATCACAGGGGTAGGTATGTGGATCCATAGAGACATTAACATGTACATTTAGCCTGTCAACTCTTGGGCCTGTCAAGT